TCCGCGCGGGCCGACGCGCGCGCGCGAAGTTGAGCGGGTGCGCCGCGAACTGCTTCGCGGCCCGGGGCAGCTTCGGGAGCTCGCCGGGCCCGAGGGCGGCGTGCGCGGCGCCGGAGCGCCGCGCGGCGGCCGCGAGCTCGTGTACCGCGGCCGCGGCCGCGAGCGCGCCGGCGCCGTCGACGAGGACGACGACGCCGTAGGGCGCCGCGAGGCCGCGGAGCAGCTCCGCCGCGCGTTTGCCGGCGCCGGGGCCGGCGTCGACCGTGCGCAGCGGCAGGAAGGACCGCGCGAGGAGCTGGTGCACGTCGCAGCGGCAGGTCCGCGCGAACTTGTCCTTGGCGGCGAAGGACCGGTAGGCGTCGCAGTGGTGGTAGCGCTCGCCGAAGTCCAGGCCCGGCGCGTCCGGGGCGTCCTCGAAGACGAGGGCCGCGACGTCGAAGCGCGCGCCGGGCGCGGCGCCGAGCGTCGATTCCAACGCCACGAAGAAGTCGAGCGCGGCTTCGACGCGGCGCGGCCACGCGCTCGGCCGCGGCGCCTGCGCGAACTCGGAGACGTCGCCGGAGAGGAGGACGGCGACGAGGACGTCGGCGTCGCGCGGCGCGCCGGCGCCGGCGTGGGCGCCGCGGCGCCGCAGGGACGCCGTGAGGTTCAGCGGCGGCGCGGCGCCGTCCCGCGGCGGCGCCGTCGGCGACCACGTCGACCGCGACGACGCGGCGGCCTGCAGGCGCGCGCGCAGCGCCTCCTCCGAGGACGTGGCGCAGGCGCGGAGCAGGGCGACGACGAGGCAAGAGGGCAGCAGCCCATGCCCCATCGTCATATTCTCGCAGGGTTCAAAGATGGTTCAACAATTCGTCAACGGCGAAGGTGCACTCCGAGTAAAATATGGAGGGCCGGAAGACGACCTAACGACCGCCCACCATGCCGACGAACTGGAGCGGCGCGCACCATAGCTACAAGTTCCACGAGGGCGGCGGCGGGCCCAACGGCGCGGGGCTGCCCGGGGGCAACGGCCGCGGCGCGTGCATGGGTCTGACGGCCCACATGTACTGCCAGAACGGCGTCAACGAGAAGCTTAAGAAGGCGCCCAAGGCGGCGCCGTCCGACGGCCGGCGGCGCCTCTCCGCGCCCGCGGCCGACGCCCCGCCGGCGGGCGCGCCGGCGCCCGCGGCCGCGGAACCCGCGGCGCCGAAGAAGGAGGTGATCCTCGTCCTCGAAGGCGCGGCGCCCGCGGAGCGGCTGCGGCTCAAGGTCGCGATCCCCGCGACCTGGGCGGGCAAGCCCGCGGCGAAGCTCGCGCAGACGCTCGCGAAGCACGCGGCCGCGAAGCGGCCCGGCACGGCCGTCGACGCGGCGTCGCTCGCCATGGTCCGCGACAGCGGCGACGCGCTCCGCGGCGACGCGCCCCTGGACCTCGTCGAGCACGGCGAGACGATCACGTT